GAAAGAAGTGGTTTGGGTATCTTCTATTCCTGTAATTTATTCTTTGAATATCTTATGTCCTCTTGAATTGAATATTTAACCAAACCATTGTTGTAGGGTTTTGTATGAGATCACGGTAAGTATTATGAATTTGGCATTCTTAGTGCTTCATCAATTGTATTTTACTGATCTTTTTGGATGGATTTTATAGAAATACTGCTATATACAGTTCAGTGAGTTTTTATCAAAGCCAAAAATAACAAATTCCAAACATGATGATATTTATTCAGGAAACAGTACAACACTATATACACCTTAAACCTTAACACAAAGCCACCTCAGTCCTGAAAGAAAACTAAAATATCTGGAAGGGTCCAAAAATGTGACTTGTGCACGAAACTTGTGCGTTCCGAGGTTGATAAACCACGCACACAATACAGTCACGTGTCTGTGGCAACATTCACCAGTCGCTCGTGTCTTTGGTCATACGATCCACGTCCTCTAAGCACCAGTCTCTGCTCTTCTTCCTGCAGTTGACCACTGACAATCACGACGCACTCGTATTCAACACTGTGCCTGCAACGATGGAGGTAGCAAATTACAATGTAATAACTTCAGTGATAATGAATTTTAGTTATGAATCAAACCACGAAATAACCTTAAGGGATACAAACGTGAAGATCACATCAGACAATCCAAACACGACCTCGATTTAGACTGCAAGTTTTCAACCATTCAGAAAGCGTTTTCAATTCGGAGCATATATTTCCTATAAGCCGTTTCTGCGCGAACAATTGTAGTACTTAGTAAATTATATTTCGTATCGAACAAGTTGTTTTATAACAGCTGATTTTGATAGATTACAATAGGCAAATTTGAAACCATCCTTCAGAGCAGATGACGTGGAAAACAGTCTTAAATTGATGTGGATCGAAGAGGAATATTTGCAGTTGATCATGAAAACGAACCATCAAACCTCACTAACGCGTAAAAGAGGTCAACTCACTTAGCTGTGAAGGTCACTTTAAGTGTAGACTTAGTCTGGGCTATAAAGCTGGTGTTCGCCTCCAGAAATCCTTCGGTCGGATTTACAACAAAAACATCTTGGCTAACGGTGGGGTAACGTGGATCTATCAACGAGACAAAAAATAAACCCTGAGAATGAGATACATCGTAATCTAGAGTTGAAAAAAATCAATTTATTGACTTCAAACTTAACCTTTCTTGGCGACCCAAGCAGAAGCAGAGCGAGAGGGATTGCGCAGGGTCACGTGCATTTCGACTGATTGGCCCACAAGGCACGTGCCAAAGTCCATGACATCCTGAGACAGACGGAGAGTGGGAACAGCTATCGAGGCCAAAAGAGGAATCACCTGACAATAAAAAGCACAATTAATTAGAAATAACTTCCTGATCGAAGGATAACTTAGAATAATGAAGAAAATGGGGGTAAGAATTTCTTCTTTGGCATTAAGGCGACTATCATCGGCAATATTTCACTAAGACAGATTGATGGTTGTCCTCATTTCGTAGTTAGGTGTCATGAAAAGGGATGAAAGTAACTACCGTAAATCCTCTAATATGCCCCCCCCGGGGGGGTTATTTATTTCAGGTAACCCTGTTACATATGATAAACCGAACTCGAAAGAACTAGCTTAATCTTTTGAACTCTAAGGGTGACTAGCATCAGCTTTCTCCTGACAATTTCACTGAATCACACATCAAGATCCCAAGAATAAAGGCCATGATCACCAACTAAAGAAGCTCTTGATTGTTTAACAAATTCTCCTCGTCAGCAGATTGGGAAATGTATAGAGAACAGTATGGAGAATATGCATTCTGATGATCAGGTTCATTACCTGTGAGGTATTGTTGGAAAACAGAACTTTCAAGTCTTGTTTGAAGACAAGTGGCCTGTCGCCATCATCTGAGGTAATGAGCATTGTACCCTCAGTTTGTTGTTGTTCTGTGTTGAGATCGTTCACTTTGAGAACAAGCTCGTCCGACAAGAAAAAGCCAACTTTTAACTGAAATGAAAGCGGGAAACAATACAATTGTCAATTTTCATGTCTCCCTAAAATCCTATGTGGCTGCTGTAATGAACTGAGGATTCGGAGAGTTGACACACCGACCAGTCACGTCCAATGGGAACAAATTTATTACAAGTAGGTGGCGAGAGAGAGAGAGAGAGAGAGAGAGGCCTCTTCTACGCATGCGTGAGAACATACATAATGAATGAGACATTACAGCTGCCCAGCTCCATTGCTCGTCCTAGCTATCCCGGGCAGACAGCCCTCTGTTAAATTACAATTTTCCATTTTTACTCACACATGCTCTTCTCCACGAAGATTCTCGAAGCTGATGTTGTTTCATTACGATCAGAGTCAATGCTCTTACCTCTAACGTTTTAGCGGGTTTAATGGTGATACTTCCTGCAGACTGAGACTTTGCTGATTTGGCTGATGGAGGGGGCTCGGTTGAAAGAATCTTAAATGGAGCCTGCACATCGAAGCGCATGGTCAGCGGGGTTTCTGTGGTGTTTCCTAAAACAAACCGATGCACCAGGGGTGTGTCACCGTTCAGCTGTTGACGATAGGCAAAATCAGACAGTAAATAATTATTATGGACTCCGGAATTAAAATCAATAATAAAGACATGGTCTTCGTCATCATTTTGCTTTATGTTGTTTTACTTTGTTTACGAATTTTTGTTTTGTTTTGTTTGTTTCTCCTTTGTAATTTTGGTTTTGTCTCGCTTTTTTGTTGTTGTTATTTTTAATTGGACTACTCTCATAGTCGCGAGACATGAAAGCGAACATCATTTCTTCAATTCATGTAATTCCCACGGATAATTTAAATTCATTTTCACACACGAGCCGCACACATAAGCCTGTATTTCATGAGGTCCCTACCCCAGTAACTTTACACCTCAGTTGATTAGAGCACCGCACCAGGATTACGAGGTCACAGGTTTGAATCTTGTTAAAGTACTTGCCTTTCTTAGCCTTTTTTTACGAAAAATTGTTATAATTTGAGGCGCTATAACGAAAAAAAAAACCATAGCGAAAAATAATTTGCGCCTCTCTCAAGGCTGAGACACTCCAAAGGAAATCGGATGGTGGATTGAAATAAGAGGACTAAAAGACTTCGCGTGAAAAACAGTTTAAAACACTTGTAAACATAAAAGCACTTGTAAACATAAAATTTCTTGTAAACATAAAATCACTTGTAAACATAAAATCATCAACATAGAGAGAACTAACACTGGAATACAACTCACCAAATCAGATGCTGCCGTAATAAACTCAGTTCCCTCTTCTTCTTCAGTTTCCAGAGAAAGGCTGTGATGAAAGAAGCCAGAGAGAGTTAAAAAGGAAACGTTATTCATTACTTGAAACGAACTTCTTAATAAAAGAGAAATCCCTTGTAACAGATTAACTAACTCGAAGAGCACACTACAAGTAGCCTTGGCGTATCATACTTCGACAAGCAATCCACATGATTTTCTGAGAGTACGAAGGATTGATTGGACCCAAGGTTTTAAACAGTCTGAATAAAAATAACACAGCTTTAGTATCATTTGTTTCTCTATTTTCTTTTTGTCTATAACAGGTACGTGTTGTGGAGTGGACGAACACTTGGGATTCTCCTGTTGCTCTCTAAACCTTTCCACTGCATCTCCTTCGCCCAAATCTGGTTATTCTTGCTATTATTCCTTCTTAGTCATCTTACAGCTTATGAAATGTCTTCCTCGTGATGTCTAAAGAAGAATCCAAATTGAAATAAATTCGTTTAAAACAATAGCTTACAATGCAGGATCAATGTTTGCTGTCATGTCCAAACGGAAGGGACGTAGCTCTACTCCATGTGATCGACTCACCCGACCTGGAACCTCAAGAAGCTGAAGGAAAAAATAAAAAGACCGAGTAAATTAGCGGGAAAATGGCGAGCACCTCTGGACCCACTAGATACAAGGATCACGCACATATACGTGGCAGAGTTCAAATTGAAATAGTGACGAGAGACAGAAAATAGTTATTTTCTGTTGTACCGTAGATCTTATTCCCTAGTTCAGTTCAGGGATAACACAAAGAAAAACAAGCATAAACCAGAATAGAGATGGCTTCTAAGGAGCCTAAAGCCCCAATACCCACGGAGGTTATCCCAGATTCTGAAGAAGGAAGTGACAAGGAATATTGCCAGTCTCCCTAAATGGGATGCCAGTTTGTCAGAGTTAGCTTCTCCTACCCTTCCCCTAGGTGGGTAAACCTGGTAGGGGACTACGTGTCCTATTGTTCTCTCACCTATACACTGTACAAATCTATAAAAACTCAAAACTCAAAACCCTAACGATTCGCAACGTTTCCTTGACAGTTTTCTGGTNGGGGGGAGGGTGGCTCTCCACCCAGAGTCGACCACACCATCTCGTCTCCCACAAACTACAATGAAAGGATGAGCGTAGTTCTCGTCACCAACCTGCTGATCTAAACTCATGTAAGCTGCTGCATATGCCGAGCAAACTTCTCCAGACGGGCTATCCGTGAAAGGATGGAATGACATTTTGGCTGAAGAATGGCTCTTGGCCGGAATAATCTAAAAGAATGAAATTTTGTCAACGTAGAAATGCTAAGAAACATGGTTCGCACGCTTTTAAATTCATAGGTTTCCACGATCACCACAGGTATGTAACGACCTCCTTAGGATAGTTGTTCTCAGAAAGATCTCACAAATATTTCTTACTTTCGCAACAGCCTAAGGCGATATGCTTTAGGATGTTGTGAAAGTTTGTAGTAGTGTGCTTTCCAAGAACTTCAGTTCCATTATATAGACTCGTTCATTGAAAACGATGCACAAAAACTGCATAGCATGCAGGCTTTTCGCGATCCAAAAAAACCGTCCGGAATTCTAGAATTCTTGCCAGAGTAAGGAGGAAAGCTTTTCTTGGGGGGAAAGAGAGAAGCTTCTTGAAGGGGTAGATCTGCGTGATATCCTAAAGAACAGCTGGAAGAGAGATTTTCCTTTCCCGTACTCATGAAGTCTTCAATATTACAGCAATTCTCCATTAGTGTCGAAAGTTATCCGGAATTGCTTTGGTTCTGCTTTGCATTCTTTTGTTATTTGTCCGTAAACTCAGGCCACTCTAGATCTCTAAACCAATCAGATGCAAACTAAAACCAATCACGACTTGGTCACGCGTTTTCCCGTTCTCATTGGCTCTTAAACCTCTTTTCCTTTCCTCTGATTGGCTGTTGTGATTACTTTAGTTTTGGTGTTACAACACCCAATCGAAAGCGTTCTAATTTACAAATGATTTTAGCAGGGAGCTGTCAATCAAACCTGCTGACTGGGCGTGACCTCAAACGGTCGGTTTGCGCGTGCGCCCTCGTGTTCTCTCAGTTTTACTTGTATAAAAGGTTTCTCCTCGCAGAGATAACAGTCCTTTTCCTGGACAGCTGGTACTACTTCCTGGCCGTCCTGTATCACAGGGAAAGGCTGACCAACAAAAACTAACATATCCAGGAGTTGGTTGTCCTGTGGAAGAATGTTGTATGATTCCCAGTCCAAGCGAATGTCTGAAGAAAAAAGACTAATTCAATAAAGAACACTGAACAAGTGTGATGAAGAAAGGAATATACTGGAGTGCACTGTGGACGGCCTTGTACGTCACGATAATGCAAGAAAATAAGCTAAAATGGCCGCCAGAAATTGAAATGTAGCTACTACTGAAAAACAACGAAATCAAACAACGTTGTTCCGAAGCCACCTTAACCCTGCCATTAGGCACAAAGAATTGAAAACGACTTTTCTTCCTGATGTAGTACGTCTTCACAACTGGTGTCTCGTTAAAATTTCATTTGTCTTGTAATATGGCGTGAAAATACATTGCAGTGATGTAAGTGGTGAAATGAGGCAGCAGCGGCTCAGTTTGCCTATTAGTTGATCCGTCAGCGCTAGCGTGAGTAGTCTCCTGGCTTTATAGTAATGCAACATCTAGACGCCAAACTACATGAAAATCGCTTGAGTTCAAAGCTATGATTGACTCACCATATGGACTGGTATTGTTGATTCTGAGTGATCTCTGAACTAATGGAGCTCCAGAAACGTGCGTGCCAAATCTAAAAGAATAAAATACGTTCAAATCATCATTATTTTATTAAGCTCCAAATTCAAGGTAATAAGTCGGTAAACGCGCGTTTCCAGAGACAACTCACCGCAAGATTGGCGTCTGATCTTTCATCATTTGAAAATTAAGAGGACATCCCACGACATCCATTTTCACAGGAACGTACACTGGATCAATACCTTCAATCTGAACAGAAAACGTCGAACGAGTCAAAGGAGACACACCTTTAAACTCTTGTATTTCAGTAGAGAAACCTGCCGCCTTTTTTTTTATTTTATTTCTTTCATTTGTTTTTCGTTTCGTTTATTATGTTTTTCCTTTTTGTTAACGGAGCAGGTTCCGTTTTGGGGGGGGGGGGTATTGTTCATTTTTTTTCCTTTTTTTTTACTTGTCACATCCTGTTGAATGCAAGTGCACAGGTTTATGTATGTAACCTAAAATAAAAAAATGTAGGAGAAGCGGTGGCCTGGAGTTGAGCGCTGGGATCCTCGTTCAATGGTAGGTTTCAAGCCCTCACTGGATAATTTAAATGTTTTGTCAGACAAGATACTTTACGTGACTTTTACATGTCGCGTTGCGGTGCAACGACAACTTGTGTGTTACGTCACACAGATCAACGGTATAGAAGACCTGAATTAAATTAGGTGACATAAGACGTGTCATATCTACCTTACAAATCAGCAAGTCTCTGTATTTCCCCCACATGTCGCTGTGTCCTGTGATTTCAATCACTTGGTATCCGAATGGTGACAGTTCACCTGACGCTGGACTTGCCACAAACGCTGCTCCTCTTTTGTCACGCAAGATAGCTTGACAGTAATCTAAAACATGAGCGATCAGTGCGTGAAAAAAGATTGATCATAATCATAATAATAGTAATCAAATTTCAATAAATCCTTGGAAATAATACTCAAACCTCATAACGGCACTCTCTTCGCGAGAGAACGTGCTACGCGAAGTAGAGCGCTCTCTCCATGAGAGAAATTGTTGCGTGATACGATGCGTTCTCTTCGCGAGAGAACGTGTTTCGCGACCTAATGCGTTTTGCGGGATCAGCCCACACAATGGCTGCGAAGGAGACTACTGGCACGGTAGAACGAGTACAGGCATAATGTGAGGGTAAGAAAGGAAGAAAAGATACTTGTTCTCTGGCCACCAACCTTCGTGTGCTTTCACAGCAGTTCTACTGATTGGATCAGCAATATTCGGTGTTCTTCCCAACAGTCGTGTCCTAAGGACAACAGAAATGAAAGAATTCTAAAAATGATCCTGAAAACATTAGTCATTAATAATACTCTGTTGATTGTTGGTGTAGTCATTAGTGCTGTTAGCGTTGTAAACACTGTTGGAAATTGGAAATTAATTACTTGTTCCATGAGTTATTGGATCTGTAATGCTGCAATTATTTTAACTAATTTTCCTTAAGTATCTGTTTTAAGATAAGACAAATAAAATAAAATGAGAGATTTTAAGAAAATCAATGAAAAAATAGATATTCCAGGGTAAACTTTGTACCAACCTTTTGCTTTGAGGTGCACCTAAGAAGCAGAACAAAAACAATTAAAGATCAAAACAATTAGATTGTTACTAAGTATTATTGAAGTCCCCATTCATTTTCTCCTTTCTGTTTGTTTATTTGTTCATGTTTTTGCTTTTCTTTCGTTTTTGTTTATTTGCGACAGCATATTTCTTTAAGGTCTGATTGCTGATTACTTTCACCAACGGAAAGGTTTGCGAACAAACTTTGTTGAAGGAATGATAGTGTGAATAATACTTTTGTGAAAACTTGCTCGCAGCTTTTCTATGACGTGGCGTATCTTATTCCGTTTGAACTCTAGGTTTTTACTCACCATCTGGTGGCGTCGGCGGTTTGGCTGCTTTGAAGTGATCCATCTCTAAACTGAAGCGTGCTCGTATAGCTGAAGTGTTGGTAATAACAAGGGTTGTACGAGGACAGCTGGCGAGTGCTACAGTTTCAAAGTCTAACAGCAGCTCTCGGTCATCGAGAGAAGCTTCCTTAATCTCGTCAGGTCTAAAACGGGAGAGGGGTGAAGAACCATTAAACATACCTTCTTGCATGTTACTTCGAGCTGGAAATGATAACTAGACTTTAATTAATGGTTTTCTTCGTTTTTACTTTAGTTAGCACTGCAATGCCAATGTAGGGTTATGTAATAAAGTTTAAGTCTAGTACTGCGAAAACAAATCCATACATACATACATACATGCGTTAGTTGACCACTCCCCATGGGAGCTTTTCAGGGCCAATA